AACTCAAAATATTAAAAAATTATATATTACAATTTTATTTTTATTTAAATTTTAAATTAAATTTAAATAATTAATCAAACTTGTGAGTGGAGTTCGAGTTCACAAGGCAAAGTCATGAATCAAGTTTAAGCTAATTCGCAAGTTAAGTTTGAATTTAATATAAAATACTGATTAGTACACTATCTGATTTAATACATTATATAATATATTTATTAAAAAATTATTATTTTTTAATATAAAATTAAATACAAATAAACTTAAAAAATACAATCATGCATATAATAGTAAAAATCAATTAAATCAGTTATATTTATATTATATTTTAATAGTTAAACTAAATAGGTATAAAAAAATGTATCAAATTGAAAATGTACTAATTATTTTCTGTTTAGTATATTTAAACTTGAAAAAAACTCCAACTCAACTCGGCTCAACTCATCTACAACCTTACTTGGCGTAGGTGAATCCATTCTATAAATATAGCTTAAATCAGAGGTCTTACCCTCAAAAACTACAATTCATTCCTTGTTATGGTTTGTCCGTCTGCTGCAGCTTTTAGGAAAGCATGGTTCCCAATTTGGTACAGGCCGTTCCATATGTAAGTATGGTACAGTATCCACTAATTAATTTTAAGCGCATAGAATAGACATGGTTCTTTGTTAATATTTTAACTGCGGCGAACTTCATTTAACAGGACTTCTATATTGCTTAATTTTCCTTTAGTGGAAAAAATATAATTTTATATATGGCTATGTATTTTGTACAGACTAATGCAACAGCATCTCTAAATGTAATTATACCTGAGGTTCTTAAAGAAGATAATTATAAAAGGTGGAGAATTTTAATGCGACATTATTTTGTGGCTCAAGACCTTTGGGATGTTGTTCTATCAAGTCAAATTCCATGGAGTGAAGATCCAAGGGACTGGACTAAAAAGAATGCCTTAGCTCTGCTTGCAATTAAGATGTCATGTGGAGCAGAAACGTTTGATCAGATTGAGAAGATGGATTCGGCCAGAGATGCATGGAATGCATTGGCCGATTTGCATAAACCACCAAATGTAGACGGCCACAGAGGAAGTGAAACTGATGCTGCAGGTTTGATTTCCAGCGCCAACAGGATTCAGCCAGGTTTATTCTTTGTTGTTTATTTTAACCGCAATGCTGTTATTATAATATTATGTTAGATTATAAAATTACAATAATCTTGACATATCATTTAATGAGTTGATACATATATAATATTATAAATGCGTCTTAAATAAAAAAAAACAATTATATATTAACAAATTATAATTATAAGTTTAATGTTATGTGATATTATGATTATATTATTTTCGTGCTTATAAAGAAAAAAAAAAAACATCATTTTCGTTATTTTAATGCCATATAATAATCACTCTTTTAGCCTTGCAACTTCATCCATCCTCGTATAGTCTAAGGCCTCGTTTTGGTTGGAGTAATGACCTATGCTTTGGTTTCATCAAATTATAAAAATGAGGAAAAATTGAGAAATTTTTTAAGAAACTACAAAAAGAGACAGGTATTCCTTAACATAATTATTTTATGCTAAATTAGTATATGATTAAGGAATATGTATTATTATTCCTCATAAGGGAAAGGGATGTGTGTTTCTCGCTTTTTCTCCTAATCTTATAATTAATGAAAATTAATAGTATCTCTATTCTTTTTTTTTTTTTAACAGCAATGGTGTTTCTATTCTTAACTTCCAAGTTCTTCGATTTTAATTTATTTTCATAATTTGATTGATAGAGGAATTGTCCGTGACTCCTGATCTTAATTAAGGGTACTTTATGGGTTATGGGTGTGTGCTTTGTACCAAATTGATTCTTTTATTCCATCTTTGAAATTAAAAAAGTTAAGGAAACCTTGACAGGGATGTTATTGGGCAACTATCAAAGGGCTGATGAATTTGTGAGTTTACTCAAGGACATCTATGCAGGGGATTGGAATGCCCTAAAATCCTTAGACA